CTACATTCGTAACTGCATATACATGACGTTTTACGAACGGCCATATCCTGGTATTAAAAAAATTCACAACTAGAAACATTTCTGAAACCAAATGATACATTTCTTTAGAGTATAGATTCGGAAAAAGACGTGATTTTCTACCGAATAAGTAAAAGAACAGATATGTTAATGCATGTTTTCTATGGAAAATAATTAAATGTTCAAGGGCATCGAAAATCAATGAGAAAATTATATGCCACTTATATAGCCCTTTTTGTGGAGTACAGTTCTTGCATGCAGACGGAAATAAATTCATTCGAAAGCCGACGCCATGGGGTAACTCGGTCATTACAGAATTATGAAGACGATTTGATCTGTATATCGACTGGGAAACTCTTTTTGAAATGGCATCAAAAACTAACCACAGACGACATGATTACCAGCTTAAAAGGAACTGTGCCAAACAAATCAAAGTTCCTCCTTTTTCTCGCAAACAATCATTCACTAATGGAATTCTATACAGACGTATGTTGTTTACCCCCTACAGTGAGTGTGTTCAAGAGACATCTGGATAATTTCTTGTTAAAAGACAATTCGAACTCGCCAAGCCTGATCTGGTCGATTACTGAAATGACTGCCAACATACTACTAACTCGAATTCAACAGATCTTCTCTATTAATCTTGATCAGTCACCCATATACTGACCTAAGTCTGCAAACCTGAGGCTCGAGCTTGCGTTCAGTTTGAACTTTCGCTTATGCCCTTCTACCTGTAATGTAGACTGCTCTGCTTCTGCCATCAGTGCATTATATCAAGATGCATGATGCAAGGGTTATGGGAATACTCTGTTTCGAGATCTGTGGTATCAAGTCAACTTTAGTTAATTACTCAATATAAAGATACAGGACAACAAATGTGTGGGTCACCGAATAGGGCGTTCGACATTCACGCAACTAAATACGAGACCAAGACCTGAGTAATAAAGACCGATAGTACAGGAAGGTCTGAAAAATGATGGCTTATAAACTAGAGATGGCTACCCCAGTCACTCTTCTTTCAGTCGACATTGTCATTCAGTTGTCGCGCGAGTGCCTGCCGACCATTGCATCAAGCACGAAAACGAAAGACGGTCAAGCATGCCCCTTAAGTCGACCGGTGAACATGCCTCCACGGAGCCCATGATTCAGTGCTAATTTTTTCGGACTTCTAACCAAGGGAATGCCGGCCCTTGCTTCAGGGACTGTTAACACTGATTTGCCTTTTTCTGGTCGATAAGGATTAGCAAGACGTGAGTGGACACTACGGCCTCCAGTGCCTTCGTCGGCGGCATTTGCCTGCCTATAAAATATAACAGCAGGACTTTGCACCCAAACATGCCATCTGAAAAACCTAGGCAAGGCATAATAAACTTTCATATTCAACTGAATGGCATGTGCAACGTGCCATCCTCAGTCTGAAAGGGTTTTACTGCAACAGTCCGTTTACTTGCTCGTCGCCTTTTTGTCACGCAGCTATTCTGTTCACCTCACGGTCCCTCTCGGCTCGCTGCTGGCATCTATCGAGGCTTGGCAAAAGCACCACAAGAGCTCCAAACCGATCAACCCTTCGCCTTTCCTGCGTGGCCGCGGGCGGAGAGAATTCAGAGGAATCAATGACGTAAACACACGCGGAGGCTTAAGAACCTCAACGGCGGACACAAAAACACAACACGCTTGCGGCAACCCCAACCCATAAAGCAAACCTAATCCAAAAACTGCAACCTAAAGCCTAGATCCCAGCAACGACCCCTAACCATAAGCCTAGACGCTGATCCTAATTCTAAACTCTGACTCTCAATTCCGTGCCCGTAAAGAGTAAATAACCTTAAACCCTAACCCTAGTGCCATACCCCCACCCTATCCCTAATCCTCCAAAGCAGATGTTTCTTCCTCTTCCGTGACGATCTAGGCTAGCCTGCATACTATCTAACCGCCAATGTCTTCAAACCATAACATAGAACTATCATAGAATCGGTCCAGAAAGTTAACTGGTAAGAGCTTGTCCCCTAGCTGCACCTAAAGACATAATGCTTCTGACCTACTTAATTGCTTTGAGTGGGCGTGATTATGTTAACACGATGTTGTCGTGCGATACCGTTTACGTCCTGTAAGATAAAGGGGCTAGGGTTAGGCGCAATGCTTTTGACCGTCCGAATTTTGGTATGCTGCCTCCTTTAACCTAGCGATTGGTATGACTGACTCTGCGTTTGGACAGGGTGCCTCAATGGCACGGCGCGCATCCACTTGTCAATGGCAAGTTCCGATTTTCGGCAGAGACCTTTTTGTATGGTGTACGCTTCTCCTCTAAACAAGTTACTCGGTGCGTACGGCGTACTTCATACCTTGGCGACGCTCATGACGTGCTTTGCGTTCACTTACATGCTAGACCCCAACTCCCACATCCTCCCTCTGTATCCAGTGTGTTGGTCCGTTGGCACCGCTTACAGTTATCGAACCATGCACTCCCGCCCGACTGCGGTTCCGGTTGCCCCTTGTTCACTACCAACTGAACTACTTTCCGGTCTCCCTGCAGCGTCTACAGTCAGCACATTGTGCACTTGCACTCGTTCCTCTATACCATCTCTTAGTTGCGGTTCTGACCGAACTTCTACTTTTCTAACGAATAGGCTCGCCTAACCGCCCCATTGGACAGGGAGCACTTTTGATTGCGTGCGCAATGCACTTAGAATCAATTTCCACCTTACGGTGTACCACACGTTCTCCAGCATTTCCGGCGTCCGGCTACGTCAGGAAACAAAACAAACGCGAAACGATTGTTTCTCAGGTGCTAACGGTAATTATCTCACTCTCCCACTACCTCCTTGGCCACTGTTTTACCTGCAAATCCAGCCAGTCAGCGGGTGAGGTCTAAAGAGGGCATAGAAGATAATACAATGTTATACACGGTTATGCGGACAAAGCAACTATGTCGGAGAAACCGGACGACAGCTCCGAACGCAAATGGCCGAACACGTTGCAGCGGTGCGGAGAAATGACGTTAGCTCTCAAGTTGCGGCTCATTCGACGACATCCGGCCACACATTCAAATTTGACGAGGCCGAAATTCTTGCAAGAGGTGATAACCGCGTGAGTCGGGAGTTGCTTGAGTCATGGTTTACTGGTTCCCAGTCTGCTAACAAGTGCAATGAACTTCCCCTTCCATACTCGGTGCTGAGACTTTGCCTAGGCGGAGTTATTAGCCATGCGAAAAACGCACAGGTGAACAATTCCCCCACACCAGGGTCCGTGCGTCAGATGGTCGAGCGGTCATCACACCAACATCCAACGCACGTGATAAAATTGCAGCAATTAACGACACGAATGTCTGCCATCTCACCACCTTCAACGATCCCTGATGAAGTGGGTAGCCGTGAATATTCATAGGTAGGCAGTAGCATAACGACTGCATCCCATAAATACTGCAGCCCCTTCCGCATGAACCACCCTTATCTCTTTTTGTCTCTGATGATGGATTCGAGCAGGAATCCGAAACGTAAGGCTAATAAAGCTCTTGTCCTATCGATCTTGTTTCCTACTTCAAGACTGTATCCTGGGAATCGTCTTTTCGACTCTATTGATAATGGATTACATTTTACGCGCAAACTTGGAATTATTCGGTAAACTCAGCGTACCTTGTCAAAAGAAGCAAAGATAAGAGTCACAGGAAGCAGTCTTGAAGAAGAAGAAGAAGAAGAAGAAGACATGACAGCCGGGACAAGAGCTTCAGTAGCCTGACGTTTCGGATTCCTGCTCGAATCCATCATCAGAGACAAAAAGGCAAACAAGGGTGGTTCAGGCATATGGGGCTGCAGTATTTATAGGATGCAGTAGCCGTGCTACCGCATACCTATGAATATTCATGGCTCCCCCGCCCCTTCATCAAGGATCGTTGCACGTGGCGTGATGTCCGACATTCGCGTCGTTAATTGTTGTAATCTCATCACGTGCGTTGGATGTTGGTGTGATGATTGCTCGGCCATCTGACGCGCTGACCCGGGTGTTGGGAAGAGTGTTCAACTGTGCGCTCCCCGCGTGGCCAATTACTTCGCCTAGACGAAGTCTCAGTAGCGATTATGGAATGGGAAAATCATTGCACTTGTTAATAGACTGGGGGCCAGTAAACCATGACTCAAGCAACTCCTGACTCACGCGGTTGTCACCACTTGCGAGAATTTCGGCCTCGTCAAATTTGAATGTGTGGCCGGATCTCGTCGAATGAGCCGCAACTTGAGAGCTAGCATCATTTCTGCGCACCGCAGCAGCGTGTTCGGCCATTCGCATTTGGATTTGTCTTCCGGTTTCGCCGACGTAGTTGCTTTGTCTGCAACTGCACCAGATCCGATAAACGACTCCAAACGTTTCTTGCCGTGGCGGTGGTCTTTCGTTTGGTTGATGGTTGCCTGATGGTTTGTCTGATGGATGCCTCCGGTCTGTGTGCCATACCAACCCCAAGTGGTGCGAGAAGGCGGCCAACAGCTTCCGAAAACTTCTTGACATATAGAAGCGCACCGCCAGACTTTGGTGTTCATGCGGTTGGGCCTTTCGTCCATTTTGCATATGCACCGGTCGACGAAGTTGCGCGGGTAGCCATTGGCTTTGAAGACCCGTCGGAGGTATTGTAGTTCGGCAATCTTGTCTTCCGGCTCACTGCGGTGCGTTTCGACACGCCGATAAAGCGTCCTTACACAACTGCGTTTGTGACTATTTGAGTGGTTACTGTTGAGGTTCAGTACTTGCATCGTATTTGTCGCTTTCCTGAACAATTTGGTTTTTTGTTCACCATAATCTTTGCGGCATATGAGGACATCCAGGAAGGCCAGCTGGTTGTTCTCTTCCTCCTCCATCGTAAATTGTATGTCCGGGAAGACCGCATTCAGATGTTCGTTGAATGTCAGCAGTTGATCCTGGTCAATAAAGGCGAAGATATCATCCACATTTCAAAGCCAGAACTTCGGTTTGTGGTGTTTGAAGACCAGCGACTCTTACCGCCGCAGGACCGCCTCGGCGATGAATCCCGAAATCGGCAAACCCATTGGTGTGCCCTTCACATGTTCGTAGACTGTCCCGTCGAACGTGAAGTACGTCCTGAGACAGGACTTCAGAAGCTGAAGAACTTGGGCGTAACCAAGACTATTGTCCAATTCATCGTATTTGCGTTGTAGAAGCAACTCGATTGTCTCGATCGCCAGGTCTTGGGGGATAGAAGTAAAAATGGATGTAACATCAAAAGATACCATGACCTCATTTGGGTGGAGGCTTACCCCTTTGAGTTTCTCCAGGAATTGTGCTGACAAATAGACCGTGATGTATGACTCAGCGGTCAGGAAATTGAGACGCCAGAACAGCCACGTAGACAGTCCGTACGTTGGAGTACCTTTGAACGACACGATGGGTCGGAGTGGAGCGCCACACATTCAAATTTGACGAGGCCGAAATTCTCGCAAGAGGTGACAACCGCGTGAGTCGGGAGTTGCTTGAGTCATGGTTTACTGGCCCCCAGTCTATTAACAAGTGCAATGATTTTCCCATTCCATAATCGCTACTGAGACTTCGTCTAGGCGAAGTAATTGGCCACGCGGGGAGCGCACAGTTGAACACTCTTCCCAACACCCGGGTCAGTGCGTCAGATGGCCGAGCAATCATCACACCAACATCCAACGCACGTGATGAGATTACAACAATTAACGACGCGAATGTCGGACATCACGCCACGTGCAACGATCCTTGATGAAGGGGCGGGGGAGCCATGAATATTCATAGGTATGCGGTAGCACGGCTACTGCATCCTATAAATACTGCAGCCCCATATGCCTGAACCACCCTTGTTTGCCTTTTTGTCTCTGATGATGGATTCGAGCAGGAATCCGAAACGTCAGGCTACTGAAGCTCTTGTCCCGGCTGTCATGTCTTCTTCTTCTTCAGCGTTCCGTGTTTCCAAGGGAGTAATAACTGGTAGTGCTTTTTTGTGAATGCAACGGAGGTTCGCACAATAACCAATGTACGTTAATCCTGCACTTAATGACTCACATTTGTTGTCGAAGTGTCCGAAATCTCCGAGTCTTGTAGCCCCTTTTTGTTACGTGTCACATCCTTTTCTCGATCTACAATGGAGTGACATACAGCCTTCTACGTTGGTCTTTCAGGTGAAGATTCAAGTAATATCCTGCTACGTAATGTTTTCACGGTGAATGTTTCCTTGTTTCCATCCAGGCATTAGTCAAGTATTGAATTATGTTCCGCGATATCGTTCCCATTGAATATACGAACAACGGAATCAGTGAGCTCGTCGAACGTTATTCCGCTCAGGTGGGCTAATCTTTTAGATGACGGTTCAGCACGGAGGGACAAGTCCTCAACTCTTAAAGCCCGCTTAATCTCTTCTGACTCGGTTCCATTTATGGGCAGCACTATTAGACTTTATGTTGCCCATTAATCCCAAGAAGGCAGAGAAGAACATATATTTAACAACGCAATAAATATGTTGAAACTTGCACGCGCCTTTACTAAAAAAGAGCGGTTATTTTTGGCAGTCGTTTGTATTGGCTGGACCTATGTTTAGTCCGCTTCTAAAAGAAAGAATCAAAGGGGGGAAACGGCTTCCCTCAGCTATGGACCGATCAAGTCCTAAGGGAGCATTATGACCGCAGCCAAATGCGAGCAGTCGCATGCTGGCAGCGCGCAACGAGGTGTCCACTTGTTTCTGAGTTAGATCAACTGACTCCCGACAAGTCCTGATCGCTTTTGTGCACTAAGGGAAGCATATCCATGCAGGCGATTATTAACGAAAGATTCGAACCTCAGAGGGTGGGGAGTAGACATGAGTCCGCATTAAGCAGGAACTGTCGCAGTCGACTTGGCCGCAGCTCCGTGCAATCATTTCCGATGAGATTTGGTTCTGCAACCACATTTTACTGGTACCATGCAGTTAGCCAATTAAAACAATTTTAGTAGGTGCGATTTCGCCGACTTTTTCTACATCACATGCTTGCACATTCCCCACTCTACCGATCCTGGGGTCCTGGGGGAGCGCTTACACCCCAGTTTGTGTTACATCGGGCATTAGTTCGCACTCGCTCCCCTGCGCGTGCTTCGGGCCCAGCTTGCGCCCATTTTTTTTCTCAATCCAGCGAGTAGCTAAGTAGATTTGATAATGTCATTGTTCGAACTTGTGGATCGCCGTCTGTTCCACTCTAATGGCCATGTACTGCGAATCACCACGAGGTTCCCTCTGTGACCGCCCAGTTGCGATTATGCTGTCCTTATCCTCTGCATCCAGTGAGTGAGGTATCAAGGGGAGAGTGTAAATGCCACCTTCGGTTACACCAAGCATGCGTTCTCACGTACTTTGCTGTGCGTGTTCTGAGTTCTGCTTGTGCGCTCATTCCCTTCCAAATACAGCCAGTGGTTAAGTTACCAATGCTGTTTTAGTCAACTAAAATTTTAACTTCAATTAAGTGGAGCTGCAGGACCAAACCTCGCCCCATTTGCCAATTTGTGAGGGCAAGACAATGAGTCGTACGATTTATTGCAATCATTGCATAGTTGAGCATGACAACCTCCAGTCACCCCTTTTTCTTCGGTAGAGACATTATCACATAATGTACCTTTGACGATCTAATAACTGCGTCAGTATTATTATCAGTTAGGCAACGTTGGGAAGAGTTTTTCACGCACTCATAGGCAAACGTCTCTGAGAAATGCCCCCCTTTCCACACTGACATGCAAATCGGGGCGTTTTGCTTTCATGCCTCCCATTACCGCATAGGCAGATTGTATGTATGGGTAGAAGTAAGTAGGTGAAGACGCCTACTGCCACATTAACATGAATATTTTTAAAAATTGGTAGAGCTGCAATATTTTCCCTAGAAGCTTGACCATGATTGCTTATCATCTCGTCCCTTTCTATTTTAAATCGGTGAATTTTGCTTGCGCAGAATCCCTCCATTGTCTTTATATATGCCGACAAAGAGTGTTTCCTTCGGAAATGCTGGGTTTTAAACAGTTGTAACGAAGATGTGATTTTTAGGATATGAGGGAGTGTTCACCGGGAGAGGTTTATTAGAGGTCTGACTTTTCAAGTAATTGCTTCGTCTACCCATCTTCAGAGACTGGAAAGTCATGCGCACATTTCTCTTTATATTGTACACTTTGTTTCATGCGTGGCCCGCCAATGAAGCCTGTGTGGCTGCATCCGACTCGCCTGTCCCCGTGACCTGAACCGTCCCCGCTCTCGTTGACCGCGGATATAATTGGCGGCCCAGAATGTCCCGCACCGTGACTGTCCCCCGTTAAGAAGATTCGTAAAGTCAGATAAGGGGAGAGGTAAATTGATGCGGCGGTAGACAGCGCAGTCGGCGGACGTCCAGGACCTGTCAGGTCGTATGGTCATCGTCCTGGCGCACAATCTCAACGGCCTCAAAGTTAAAGATGTGTCCCCATTTGCGCGGCATGGATTGCTACCTCTGAATGTGCGGCCAACTTATGCTCGTGCATTCGCGTTTGTAGCAGTTTGGCCGTTTTCCTCAACGCATTTGCACTTCCCGCAGCTGCATTGAAGTGGGTAGACAACAGCCTCCATCTCCTGCTTAGGTCACGGTGGCATGCGGGTAGGCTGCAGTCACGCAAGCGGCATTGGGGGGCCACGCGTCAAACAAATTGCGCCATATAATGAGAGCTGTGTGCATGACTTCCCAGTATCTGAAAATGGGTAGACGAAGCAACAACTCGAAACGTCAGACCTCCAATAAACCTCACCCTGTGAACGCTTCCTCTTCTCATTTGATACTGGGTTTTATTCAGTGGAGAAAAGAAGTCAGTGCAATTGACACCATCTGAACGTTCATTAAAACATGCCTTATCATTGCGCTTTTGAAGGCAAAGAAAAGCTTTTGAATAAATTGGAGTAAGCCCATTTGATATAAAAGCATATATCGCATTAACGGGGAAAGCATATAATTCTCCATATCTCATTTTATTATCAGTGTCTCGAATAGTATTGTTTCAGAGGACTCAATTAATCGCCATAGTATTCTTGATCCAGTCAAGATAAGGATTTATCCTTGTACTGGTCGCATACTTTCCCTGACAAAGAAAATCTCCTCTGTTGATAATACCATATATCACCCACTGTCCTCCACCTTCAAGGCAATAGATACCAGCTCCGGAGTCGCCCCAACAAGGATTCTGAAAACATATAAAGAACACCAATCATAAAGCATAAAAATATTTCTTTTTAACCAGAAGCATACTTGAGTCAGCCTCCCAGACTAATTTACTGTGTTTAACATGGTTTTATCAAAAGGAGTTTAAACCTGGCTGTCTGTCGAGTGCAGGTAATCCGTAAACAGGCAATAAAGACTCGCTTGCATTTGACAGTAATGTCTAATACATATTGCTACTCGCCGCGTGACCTCTTTCATGTTCTCTGAATTTGAATTTACTACAACTATAGCCTGCACATTTCTTCTGGCAATCAGAATTTCATTTAGTAACAGTAAAAAACGTTTTAACTAGACAGTATCAGTCAAACAACTTACGCCAGATTGTGTTGCAAGGCAGGCCTGTCCTCGGTTTTCAGGCTTTTTCGCACTCAAATTACAAAATTCTGGCGTTTCAAATCGTACTCTTCCCTCTGTTAGAACTGGTGAATTTTGATGAGCAAGACTGCTTGGGCGACTAGTTGAGCCCCAGCCAGCAAATGTGCATTCTTTCGATGTGAAAGTAGTTGAATCGTTTCTTGGAAGACAGACAAAACCAATCTCCTCATCTAAAAAGCATAGCGAATTGTTTTGCCAGCAAAAAAGAAAAACACATTTTCGAGTTATTTGCATTTCTACAGCCAAGAAGAGAAGGATTATTTACCGCACTCAGGTGAAATCTTGGAGTTTGGTTAAATACGCTGAATAATCTTCTCTTTGGTCCAACAATTCTCTATCCTCTGACCATAAATAACTCTTTTGATGCCAATTACGTAGTAGATATTATAATGTCGTCTAACTGGCATACACCTGCCTTGGCATTTCATGTTTTCCGTCAAACAGACTGGTTGACATGATGTATAATATAAACACAAACATCGTATGTGAGACAGTAAGGCGACAGTTGGCGGGGACACAACCAATCGCGCACGGAACTGGTAGACAAATTTGAAATGTAGAGTTCAAGAACGAAGGATTAAAATGCCGTTTTACTCGACAACTATTGCTGTACCATGCATGAAACCATTTTCAGCTTTCTTCAAAGCTTAGGCATGCCCCTGATTTACGTTTAGCCAATTACGCTTTTCTAAAGTACGACATCGATTGTTATTGATAAACAAACATCAGGGCTGTTACCGGGCATGACAGGTTTTTCTAACTTCAGCAGGGCGATATCATTTTCACTGCTGCTTGATCGCAGTTGGTAATCAGGATGAATTATGATTCTCTGAACAAGACGATCCCTTTCTGATGTTTCAGTTTCGGTCAGATTGTGATCACCAATTCGGGCAAATAGAGTGGCATTTGTAAGGGCGTTGTAGGAGAAAGGTTCTCCAACGGGTGCAGACCCGCATTTCATGGCCATTTCAACGCAATGGGCCGCAGTAATAACCCATTCAGCAGCCAACAGCGTTCCACCGCAGTACGGATACGCTCCTCTGATATTTGCATACAGTCCGACCTGCAAATTGTGAAGGTAATTCGTTAGGTCCATTGGGTGCTCCTAAAACTTCAGAATAAGACAGCAACACGATTCTGCCAGATTCTTCATGTCTACTAATTATAAACTCATATGGTTTTTAAACTTCATGAAAAATTGACACTTATCGCAGTTAATCATTCAAGGAGTGAATGTGAAAAATGAGAGGTAGTCTTACAGTCCACGGCCAGCTATGATGATGTGCCTCACGTTTGGCATAATCGCGAGAAAGCCATTTGGCTGGAGACAATGCTGGTCTTCCACACGTCAGTTGATCTGAAAGCGGAAACATAAGATATGAATACGAAATAAATGCCCGCATATGAGCACCTGACGTGTGGGAATGCCACGGGAAGTGAAGTTACAGAGGGAGCTACGTTCAATGAACTGCATATGCTCCCATCTAACAGAGTTTATTTGCAAATCATTTAAAAGACTGACTTACGCAGACCTAGAACGAAAACCGTACATAGAGGAACTCCAATGCGGCAATGGTGGTAAGAGTGGGTTTTACGGTTGGGGCTAACCATACCGCCGTAAAAAACCGTACAAATTGTTAAGAAGGCCAAAAAAATAGGATAAAAGCGAAGTTTCTTTGAACAGAATGAATGAGAAGCAGGAATCAGTCGCGCAAAGTCTAAACTTAGCATGAAATTAGTGTGGAAAGGACGAAAAATATACCAGAACGCGATTAGCGGGTGATTGAAGGAGAAAGACATGGATAGGAGGTGACGTCAACTAGAGGACGAAATAGCCGAGACATCCAGTACAGTCGAGAAGCTGTCCGTAAGCCAGAATAGGTGTTATCGGTTATGCGTGAGTGAATGCCAGTTGAGAGAATTTCATAACATAGCGAATTTCGCAAGATTGCCGTAAGCTACACGACTGGCAGGAGTAGTGAATCTGTAGATAACCAATCCAACTTCACGCATACGCGGTTAATGTAGTTACTTAAACCGTATTATGCAATTCATTTGAATTCATGTAACACCAGGCCCGCAATCGAATATGTTTACCTGCGTTTTCTTGCATTCGAAGCGGAAACCACAGGAAGAGATAGGCGGTAGCCTGACAAGCGGGCACAATGCGAATGCATTCGGGTAATTCTTAACTCGCCCCACCCACTTGAAAACAACCATGAGAACAAGCTGCCGGCAAAACGGTTCACCTATGCTGGTGTTGAGAAGATGAATTAGCAGGTACTATGCGTGCATACCAATGAATTAGCATTCCGATGCCTGCTGTGCAACCGAAAGAAGGTTCTAAGAACGAATGACATTTTCTGCGCCAAGTAGCTGCGGATAAGGAAGATACAGAATGATTGCTTGGCTTCTTTATCAGAAATGTCGATTAGGCAGTGAACATCAGCAGTAGGAATGAGCGAATGGACAGTCGTTGCATGGAATGTCATTTCCCGGAATGTGTATTTCAACGCCTTCCGGTAGAAAACAGGCAACCGTGCGTCCGGAGCATCGATGTGCGGGTAGACGAAAGGCCGCTAAGCTTGCTATTGACGCCGTAAGTTGCCGGACTGGGTAGGTGGGCGAGCGGGACATCCCAAAAGAGGGTTATATTTGAGCAGGCCAGTAACAGGTCATGGCTGTTACTGCGGACAGTAATAAATAAGTAGGTTGTTCGGGGTAGTTTAACTGTAACCGATAAATGGAAGGTAAATGCAAGCTTGCCTTCCGAAGGTTACGTGCACCACGCCGTCAGTCTTTCAAAGCGTTTTACAAATCCGACCATTGACCGACATGCCAACGCCAGTGGGGCTTATTGGAGCCGGCTGAAAGGTTAAATGCCTAGAAGTGGGGCTGTCCGTGAAAGGGCCATATGGACCCATATGGATGAAGTGTGGTACCAACCGTGATTTGGTATCGAACTGCATCGCCTGCTGGAAGGCTGGGGAATTTTCGTCTCGCATATGGCCGAAGTTTATTCCGTCAACCTGAATGTCGCTCAGATTCTCATCATAAAAACAGCAGGTTGATTGACGGAGTAATAAACAAGGTTAGGCGCAGTTAACTAAGTTGAGTCTATAAGGGTTCCCGTGGATTTTCAAGTATTGGGCTAATCCGACGACAAACTGACGAAACTACCAACAATCCGACTTTCTCCCTAGAATGTCCTTGTTTCTAATCTATATAGAATATAATTATTCAATGCGACTGGCCACTATCTGGCACACCAGCGGAAAACCTGTATGCTCTTGCTCCGGCTGTAACCCAGTGGGTTTACGTAGCGAGTAAACACAGCCAAGAAAAGGAGAGCTGGAGCACTTCGGCGGCAGCCAGCGAACTGGCGCACGAAATGGAGACACTATCAAATGGTTCGGCTTATCCGACTGAAAACTGCACACTAAATTAGGTTAATAAATGTGGGTGGTAGGTGCTAGGCTAGAACAACGCAATTAAACGTCAACCTAATACCCAGCAGGATACCGGCGGACCAACGTAGGCTAACATAACGAGGCAGTGAGTGCTTTAGTTGCCCATCTTAAACCTGTATACTGCAGCAGGATGTGGAGAGAGAGAGCGGTTTGCTCACATGCTTGTCACCTCGCATCAGTGTCACCCCCACTGATGGGCTGGTAAGCGCACGCAGAAAGTAGTGACATCGCTGGACGTTCGCGCCTCCCCAATCGAAATCCATACTCTGGATTAGGAGGGGGAGAAGGGGGCTCAGTCAAAAAAGCGAGATCGAGCTTCGGTGTTATGTATAGTGGGAATCCGATAGCCTGACACTAGATTAGGTAACGATGGGCACTGTCGTGCAAATAAAAACTGCACGCTGCATCAAAGAGGAAAGAGATAGGTGTTCGTCATAATAACATGACCGGAACGTCGGCGTGATACTCAGTGTTGTCTTGCCCATTTGAAGAAAAAGGTATGAGTTGGATTAGGTAGGAGAGAGAGGGGATCCTCGGTCACGAAGAAGAGACCGGACTTCTGCGCTATATCTACTCGGAGTACACCAGACCGAAACTGCAGTAGGTCAAGAGGATGCATTCCTGCTTCGCGACGTGATATCCTGCCGCTGTCAATCAGACCACCAAGAAAAGCTATTGGGTACGTTGTCGTACAGAAAAATTGAGGATGCAAACAAATACCGCGTACGGTCGCTCGACCGCCGTTTAGACCGATTGTGACAACTCAGTGATAATCATTAAAACAATAAAACGGAACCCGAGCAACTGTAAGTAAGAAAATAAGAAAGTAATTATACGAAGTCGAAACGTTAAGACAATACTTTCACATGAATCAGCCAAGCATGTCGTCAAGCTCTCAGGTGTTAATATCAAACGGTTTCACAAAGCTACTCCAAGAAATGAGCGTACTGACGACTTGGCCGTACTAAACCAGTTAAGATTCCCTTTGCTAGAGAAATCCACCTGCAAGAACGCGATTACGGATTAAGGCGCAAGGTATGAGCAGCAAATACTAATCACTGTCATCATAAAACCAAACCAACATCGCTTATACATTTTGGTCGGCCGCATTTAACTGAACACCGACCTCTGCGTGCTAACAGACGATTTAGGCAACATGACAAATTAGGGGAGCTTATATTCTAATCCAGGTCAAATAATACACATCAGTTTTGCCAAGAATGTGTTATTAATTGTCAAAGCAAAAATAACAAGTTAAATTAACATTTATTGAATCTGGATTAATGATGATGGATAAGATAGTGAGCGCGACGACTCATATAGGACAACTGCGTAAAGAGTTAACAATGGCAAGGTGCCTAAAACAAGGGTGACGAAATCAACTTTCAGTCGCTCTTATTGTCTATTATAATTGCAATTATCGCTTAAGTGTATTGTGGGCTGGAAGACAAAATAAAAAATTATCAAACCACCGAGTAGCTGAAGAGCCATATTTCATTTAAATGGTCAAAATGCTTATGAACGTGAATCAAAATGCAGCTACTTTTTCCCGTTACCATCACAACCCCAGCGTAATGACTTTGTGATATAGAAGATAAAATATGGTGTCTTTAGCCATGCTTACCCCTCTCCAATGTTGATACTTCAGCCGACACAGCTTTCCCGATTCCACCTCCATTGCCATTAAGCTGTTGGTTCTCCGTGAAAACTGAAACATTGTACGTAGTGGAGGGTAACAACCCGACTAACGTAATGTTCAGTGTAGGTGTTGTTAACTTGTGCTTTACGGTCCTACTTTCGTCCCTCACTTCAACGTGGTATTTGCCAATCACGCCCTGTGGATGTGTTGGTTCTCTCCAACTTGCCTCGAGGCTGGTGGATGTTACTTGCTGGAAGTGCAAATTTCTTACTTCCTGACCGCCTACAAAATGATGCAAAAAATTGATGGTAATTCCTCAAAACTGATGTCCACTTCGGATTGCGAAATATGGCGGTACACATTGTATTATGAAGAAAAAGTATTTAAGACCGTTTCATACGTGTCTTCTTTCTAACTATTTGCAAACAAAATGACAATACGCGACAAAGGCAGTTGATAAAATATATTTGTCGAAAAGATGAGACTCCCATAATAATTTACGGTCAGGCTGACCTGGTGGATACGCGGAACGCACCCCCAAGACTCTTTGAAGGTCGTCTTGACATCGATTTTGCACAATAACCTCATCATATCGTCAAAATGAGGACAGAGCTCATTTCAGTTTAGCAGCGTGGTCGTCATTGCGGACATCGACAGCGGTAAAATATAGACTGACATATTCTATCGCAGGTGGAGTTCTTGACATAGGTAATGTGTGACATAAGAAAGTCGAAAGTCAGTAAATGGGCACTCAGTTGGATGTTGTAGTCCCCACCGGATGACGGGATTTTCGCAAATGAGGAGGTGCTGGCAAGGAAACAAGGCTCTAACGGTGCCTCGTTTACATATAAGCCGAAA